CATTTTAGCACATGAATGCAAAGTACTCATAAATATTCTGAACAAAGTATCAACTACCACGATCTCCCTAAAAACAGGAATTCTGAATTTCCATCATTTTTGTTTCAAACACTGCTGAGCAATTTTCTTATTTATACTTTATACTCCAGATCTATTACAAAGGTAAATAGACTGTTTATAACCCTTTAGGAAGGACTTGAAGCTGTCAGCTGAGCTATTTTGTACTACATAGCAATTACTTAGACTTTCCTAGATGAAAGTCACTACATAATAATTATTCAACTTTCCTACACAAAAGGCCAAATTATTCCTTATTTTAAAGAATAATTTCTCACTACCATAAGGAAGATGAGAGTTTAGAATTGTCAAGAATCCTAAGGAAATCTAACTATTCTGCCTGGCTTTACCTTATGAAGACAACCTAGGGATTCTTCTTGTTTGATCTACTGATCTTGATCCAAAACTCATCAAACCATAGAATTGAGATTGCTACAACAGAGATTAGTCTTTAAGAAAAACACCAGGATTTTCTTTTCTATCACCTAGCTGAGAAATACTTGCTAACTAGGATTTAAAGCAATATACAGAAAGTGAAACAGCAATATGCTAATATTTCAATAGAAGTTGTTACATTGTCACATACAAGTCAGGGTATCCCTTGCAAAGCACAAGCAACATTAATAGGCACACAGCACAGAAACACTTCCAATATTTTAATTTTTCTCCCTCCCTTTATTATGTCCTCTTCCACAAATACCTCCTATCCACAACTAAATTTCTTGTATTAAAGCCAACACTAAAGAATACAGACTCTTCTAAGAAGGTGATCTTAGAAGGCAAGTAAATTTGTAAGAGTTATCTGTGAAATATCACAGCACTTCAACAGTAATTTGCAGGCCTGTGAGCTTAACAGTCATCATCTTGTCTTTTATATAGCAAGTCTAACTTCTTAGCAATTAAATTCCCTGCATAAAATTCCAAAGAAGTTTTAACACCTGAGAAATTTAGACTTCAAGAACAAAGGAACATCAGTGGAATTGAATGAAACTCTTAGAATTGTGATTTGCTTAAGATTACACTTGCAATATACACAACTGCTAAGTCTCCCTGAATTAACATTTCAAAAACACAAGTTGTAGTAAATATACTAAGGATTATCCTCCTAGCAGTTGTTTTGTAACAAGTATCATAGAAAGATCAAAATTACTAGCAAGAGATGTCACTTTAAAAAGCTTCTTATAAGAAAATGAGACTTTATTAAAGACCTACCTGAAACTTTTAAGATTCATTTTTTGTTGTGATGGTTTTGTAGTAACCTACATACAACCTATTCCAGATTACAGACTTCAACAGCATCTGTACTAGCGCCCACATCTTTCAGAAAGAAAGCAAACTAGAAAGCAACATCAACCCATCTGATACAGTTACCATCTTTTCATTAAAAATAAGTTTAGAATTAACTTCCAGGAACAGCCACTTGAGATGCTCAGAGTAACATCACAAAACCATAGGAGTTCGAAGAGATACACAGACACACCTCTTCAGGGTTTGAAGAGCCTAGAAGTAGACTAAAGTGTACCATTTTCCTGACAAAATACTGTGCTGGCTTTGCAAGAAGTTGATATAATCCCATGGTATTTTGAAGTCAGGTGCAAACAAAACATTCTTTACAGCCATAGCAAAATGAATGAGCTTACCAGCACCAAGCCCAAACGATCTTTTTCAAATGCAGCACTGTCAGAGATAGCAAGCATAACAGGCACTAGCATTAGCTGGGTCTTTTATGTGATCTTGAAGAGCAGTTCATTTCAGCGGGTTTAAGAAAAACCCCATCTGTATTTTAGACAGGAAAAGGCACAAAAACCTTACTTCAAGTGAAGTTTATAGCTTTGATATAGAAGAATTAGCCCAGTTTTGATTTGTCTTTGAACATTTTATGCCACATGTGAAAAACTAAAGCACTTCATAGCTATTTCAGAGCACTGCATAAGAAATCATTTGAACATATGTACAGTGTGACAAGTCTCTTGTGAAATACTCTGCTCACCCCTTCTCATTTATATTACTCCACCTGGCCTAAATTCAACTCCAACACCTGGTTTTAAGCCTCCCTCTCATTAGACACACCTCCTCTGTTCTTAGATTGACAAATATTTAAGTGTTCACATTGAACGTACTTTGTGATAAGTATTTTTCAATGCCACAAACATACTATCACCTTACTCTGAGTGTATTTAATTTTAGGCAATTAACTATTAAGAAAACCAACATAAAGCTCACTGTGCATCATTCCCCGCAAATTTAAAATAAGTAGGCACCAAATATACAAATAACTCTCTTTATTGCTTTATCATAGTAAGCATGATAATAAGATGCATATATTGCAACTCTGCTGAACCCTAGAAGTTTTTATGACATGGACTGGAGTTTAAAATAGATTCTTTTTTTCCACTATCAAATCACTCTCACCCAACAGAATCTAACCTACAACCACCTAAAAGACAGAAAAATCTCAGTATCCAATCACCTAAATGATAAGGCTGTTTTTGAGATGTACTACTATTTTTTATTAAAAAGTATGAATCATTTCTGCTTCTATTAAAAAAAAAACCCAGACAATACACCAGACATATAAACATAAGAGCCAAAGGAGTCAATTGGATGATGTTTAAGCTTAGGAAGCATATAATAGAAGACAGGGTTCTCCCCCTTTTCAGTAAACATCAATCTTTATTAGCCTGTCTTGTCTGTTCTTGCCTGTTCTACAGACCCACCGTATTTTTGTTCCATATGCTGATTTGAGAGGAATTTAGTAAGCACGTGCTAAACATATGGGCAAGGTAAGTCCCTGCTCATTCCCACATTAATTAAAAGAAGTGGCCTGCTCCTCTTCCTATCAAAGGAGCTAGCCACAAAACCTGCTGCTTGCTTCTGCCAAAGGACACGATTCCCCGTTCCCATCTGTTATGTTGCAGCAGAGCCTGGGGCTGTGAGGAAGAAGCATAGATGAAATACGAGTGCCACTGCCAGGACAATTCTTCAGGAAATCCACTTTCGAGAGTTCCACTGAAAAGAGAGCAAGTAAGAACAAGCCAAGAACTGGTTTACTTGAACTACCAAGGAACACTGGGCTACCAGAGCACTGACTAGGCAGCCTAACCTAAGCAAGGTCCTCTAACAAGAGCACAACGTTTCCTGTGTAACAGTTCCAACTGGGTTAACTCTTCAAGAGCAACATACTCAACAATCCCACATGCTCTACAGGAACATTCACACATTCCAAAGCAAATTTTCTTTCAATACCAAAAAAAAAAACCAAAACAAAACAAAAAAATCCACTCTGAACTTTAAGAGCTATTGCTATCTGCATTGCTGAAACACTCAGCTTTTACCAAACAGGATGACAAGCCAGTTTTAACTCAACCACTGAATTTGGCAGTTTACCCCAGCAGGTTGACAGATCCTCTCCAGTTAAAATTGTATTTCAAGACTAAAAGAAGCATATAATACACGCTAGTACAAGAATACAGCTTATCCATACATAAGAAAATGTAGGCATGTCTCTAACAGCTATGGCAGAAGCTAACCAGAGTATGAGCAGTCCCAGCAGTCATACTATGCTGTATCTAATTATAGCCCACCTGCGTATGTTCACAGCCAGCTCAAAAAACAAGACTGAACAAGACTTAAAAGCCATGTGGACCACTGCAAGGAAACCACTGCAAATCCCCAAGTCCTTGCTGCTACTGTCCTTCCTCAACACCAAATGTTCTACTCGACCCCTTCCCCCCAAAGAGCACAAAATGGAATTTAAAATTATTCTGCTACCCTAATGTAATGAACAAAGTTCGAAAGGGAAAAAAAAAAAAAAAAAGAAAAGAAGCCAGCCCACACTGCTGCCCTGGGACATCTAGCAGATCCCAAGGTAAGTCAGATCATTCCTTACAAGGCACTGTATACATGTCCACAAATGAGTACATAAATCCTCTACCCTCTATAAAAGAAATGTACACACTTCCATATACCCCACACACCATCCTCAATCATCTCAAGAAAAGTGCAAGTTGCCAAGAACCTTCTAACGCTCTTACATTCCAAAACCAGGTTTTTGCTTAATTTCTTACCAGAAGCAATGAAAAATCAAGACAGCAATGGCATGATTTTTCTTTCTGATATTAGAACCTCCACTGTGCATTTCAAAACAGCCAAGAACTGAATTAGCATGAAACACCACCCTTAGGTGGTATGTTTCCATTTTTGTATTCTTCATTACTAGAAAATGGTCGTTTTAAAATCCATTCCAAGTTACTTCCACATGTTAAAAAAGTTCCCATATAATTCAGTATTTAAAAAAATAAAAATAAATGCTCTGAAATTCACACTAAAGTACGGCAGCAATTCATGTATAAACGTTATTATTAACTAAATTTATAAGGAATCGTTTATTAGAAAACAATAAACAACAGGTCAAGTATTCACTGCACAAAGCCTGTCATAGTGTGCAACACCATCTCAACCTAGGATCCTTTTCAAGCCTCAGCACACATAAATGAAAACAACCTGCTTTATTACCAAACAACTACAGTCAAATCTTAGCCCTGCAGGAATCCCAGGTATCTAACTGTGTGCACTTACTCCTGCGAGATTAACATAAAGCCTCACCTCGTCAATTTTTTATTAACCATACTCCTGCTAAATTGAACAAAACCCACAGAACTTCTTTGGGAAGAAAACTTGCTAGAAAATAAGGTATCAACAGATTACAGCAGGGAATGCTGGGATTTAAGTTTATCCTCAAATATCTTGCAAGCTTATTACGCCAGCTTGCAAAGCACATACATAAGGAAAGACAATTTCTCTGTGCACCATCCTCTAAAGAGAGATTATACTAAGGTGGAACCCAGAACTGTTCAGTAAGGGATGTCTGGGAATGCAAAGGCTTATTAACAGTTGTTACATCCAGTTGCAGAAACTGCTCTTACCCTTCACCTAATACTTACTGTTGGCTCCCACATCCTCAGCTACTCCAGAACCTCTCATTCTCAGGTATGTGAATCCCAGTATCAGAAAGAACAAGCATGCAGCAGTTAAGAGGAACATGGACAGGTAATGTGCACTGAAGCCTCCAGTGGTGGATACCTCCTCTCTTTTGAACTGTTGGAGAAGCTCCTCCTCGGGCTCAGAGAGATTCTTCTTATAGGTGTTTTTCAGGTAGGTATGATTTGAACCCGTATGATTGGAGTGGTTGAGTCTAAGGGAGGAGGTGGTTCCACCCGGGGGAAGGCTATTAGTAGATGAATAGATCCTGGATTCAACATTACAGCTACTAGGAGCACCGCTGAGAACATGATTATTGGTCGCTTTCCTAATGGCGCCTGGAGGGTCAGTGATTTTGCCGCTGTCCACATCCGTGAGCGGTGGCGGCAACAACAATACTGACGGGGATTTCTTGGATAGGCCAATGCGGTATCTGGGTCTGGGAGGACTAGAGTCCAGATTTTCACATCCTCCTCCTCCTCCTCTTCCCCCCACCCCCACCGCCGCCGCCGCCTCCTCCTCCTCCTCCTGACTGCTGCCCCTGTCTAGACTGCCGGCAGCAGCCGCCCCCGCCGCCCTGTCATTCGTTACGAGCACACCAGCACCGCAGCCTCCGCCAGCCCTTTCTTGGCCCGTCTCCATCACGCCAGCGCCGGCTGCAGCGCATTTGCTTGTTATGAATGGAGCAGGCGACTTGCTGAGGCTCCGTCTGGGCCGGCGAACTGCAGACTCCTCCTGCTGTTTGGCCCTCGCCCCCGCCGCCTCCTCCTCCTCCGAGTCCGAGTACTTGTCCCTGCTGCCTCCGTAGGAGAGGAACCGGTTCCCGTTCACGGTCCGGTTCTTCCACCGCTGCTGCTCGCTCTCCTTTTCCTCCCCCTCTTCGTCGTCCTCCTCCTCGCCGTCGCCGAGCTCCCTCACACCCTGAGTCGCCGCCGGTCTCCTGGCCGCCGCCCCCCACCAGGCGTTGGGCTTCCGCCGGGCCGCCTCCTCCGGGGGGGAGCTGCTGCTCACGCCGCAGGCGCCGTGGGGGGCGGCGGGCCTGAGGCCGCGGAAGAGGGGCGCAGCGCGCTCCCTCCTGCCGCCGGCCTGGCTCCGGGGACTGCTCTCCACGTCCGACTCGTCCGAGCTGAAGCCCAGCAGCACTTTGCCGCCCCCGGACGGGGTTGCAGCGCGGCCCCGGCCGCCTCCGGCGGCAGCCCCAGGGAGGAAGGGGTGCTCGGCGCCGGCCAGCCGCGCTCCCGGGGCCGCCCGCCCAGGGCCGCCGCCTCCGCCCGGCGCCGCTCCGGCTCCCGTGTTATTGTTGTTGCTGTTCCGGGTCTTGTTGGCGCCGCCGCCGCGGGCCCCGGCCCGTTCATCCTCGCGCAGCTTCTTCAGCTTCTTCAGGTAGACGGGCCGGGTGCTCTCGGTGACCGGCCCCGGGGAGAAGCCGAAGCGCCTCAGCTCCGAGAAGAGCTCCTCGTCCGTGAGCTGCGCGGCCGTCGCCATTTTCCGCTCCCCGCCGCCGCGGCGCTTCCGACCCACGCGCCGCGCCGCGTTCCCCGCCGGAACTGACGCGCCGCACTCGGCTGTGGCCGAGACCCGCCTGTCACCCCGCGGCGCCNCACGGCGCCGGCGGCTCTTCCCGGCCGCCCCCGCTTGGTCGCGGCTGTCGCGCGGGACTGGCGCCGCTCCCGCCGTCCCGGCGAGAGGGGGGGCCGAGGATCACCCCGTCCCCCCCGGGCTTACAGTGAGGGTCCCGGGCGGCAGTCGCGCCTGGCGGGCGGCGGATGGGAACAGGGAGGGCACGGCCGAACCGGCGGCTCCCGGCACCGCGCGGGTGGCCTGTGGGAGGCGCTCTCGGCGGCGGCGGGGAAGTGGCGGGGCGGGGGCGCCGAGCCCGGGGGAGGTGGGAGACGGCGGCGGCTCTCGGAGCTGCGGCAGGCACGCTTGTGAACTGACAAAACCGCGGCTGCTGCCGAGGGCTCGAGAATGCCCTGCAGTGAGCAGCGTCAGATCGAGCCCTGAACCTCCACTAACGCCATTCCCGGGTGTCAGATTTAGCCTAAAGGTGGCTGGAGAAACGGGAAGAGGCCGCGTGCACCTTTAGGCGGGCCCTTCCCGAAGGGGCAGGCAGCGGCTCCTTTCCACCAATGTGCCTGGTGGGAACAAACCAGTGGGAACAAACCACTGTTGCAACTCCAGCATCAGGACATCTCGGCTGTGAGGAGACACAACTTCTCATACATACGAGAAGACCTAGTCTTAAGCTGGTCTGGGGAAGGTTTAGGTGGCACAGTAGGAAGAATTTCTTCACGGAACAGGTGATTAGACGTTGTGATGGACTGCCTATGGATGCAGCAGAGACACGCCTGGAGATGTTTAAACAAAGTGCCACATCCAGTCTTAGTGCTGTGTTCTAGTTGTCATGGCGTTATTCAGTCCTAGGTTGGACTTCATCGTCTGAGGTCTTCCAGCTTAATAAACTCTGTGTGATTTTGCATGTGATTAATTTTGGAATTACTTGGATGTATTTTGCTTCTTTCTTTTGGAAAATACAGCTCTTCATGTGTATTGCAGTTTAAATTGTCAAACTATATGCAGAAACATGTACTTGTCAAATGGTTGTGCCAATGTAAAGAGATGTCGTCCTGGCATTTCTCAGAACATGTGGTGTGTGCTGACCCTTCAGGATAGACCCTTTGGCCACAGAACCTCATATGGAGGCTTCAGAATCTCCTGGCCTGCCCGTCTCTACCTGTCCACCCTGAATGACAAAACCCTGGGCTCAGTTTCTGCATACCACATTGAAAACACAGGAGGCTGAGCTCCAATTTTGACCTAGCTCTGACTGGCCTTCCACCACCATTGGCAAAAGTGGTCCAGGGACAAGATCCAGCTGTGTGTTCTCCCTCACAGTCTGCTACAGCGTGGATGTGCCCTGCTAGTGTCAAAACTGAAGTTGCTAATTTTGTTATTGAGGAACATTTGCAGAAAAGGAGTTCTGGTAGCTGTAAGGCAGCTATCTGAGAAGATCAAGACAAGTCTACTGAGCTAGAGGAGTAGCCAAGGGTCTTTATGGCTGCTGTGCTTTACGTGGCACCACTGCACAGCCTCTAGTTTCCCTGACAGGAGCTGTTTCACATACAGCAGAATAGTGCATTGGAGGAATACACGGAACTCCAGCTGTAAGGATGATTACACTCAACATGACCTCCATCACACATTAAACCGGTCACATAAATGTACCTGTTCTGTCCTATTTCCCAATCTGTACTAGCCAACTGATATCATAAATGCCATAGGAGATACTTCTGGCATTCCATTCCTTCTCATCAGTGAGAAGCAACCCACACTTTCCACCAGCTAGTCGGGATACATGTTTGAACGTGCCTGGCCACATTCAGTGCCTGTTTCCAGCTGCCTGTGACACTGGCCAAACAAGCAGCAGTCAGTCCCAGCCCAGGCACCAAGCTGGAAAGCACCAGCTTGGACACCTTCCTTCTACTAGCAGAAGGTATGCTGTCCTGCAAGAAAGTGAGGATCCTGTCGTCCTACCAGTGCAATTCCTATCTTCGCTCTGCTTATTACAGCAAGGGCGTGAGTTATTTTATAAAACTGTTTACTTGGCATCAGGAGTACAGTAAATACTATAAATAGTTAACAATTGAATAATCACCTGCAAAACTTGAATAATCTCCTCAAATATTGAATCATCTCCTGCATGTAGATACATGGAACAGCTGACTGAGAAGTCTACATTGTCCAAGTCATTATATAAAATCTGTGTGCCAAAATATTTTGGAATGTTTAAAAAATATGTCTTCTGGTTGTACTGAAGTTAGGATACTTCCACTACCAATCCAAAATCACATTTCTTTCATAGAATACATCAGTATCAATCCCTTATTTTTATCAATATCTCCACATAGTCAATTTTTAAGTCAATACTGAAAGCAGTTACTTTTCTAAAGTACTTTTCTAATTTTTGACTGTAAGGAGTGTGGAGACTGTTATTCATCAGGAAAAAAAAGGTGGTTATTTTTTAGATAAGATGTTTTGGATTATATTTTCCCTCTCATCCTTAAAGGACTGGTGTTCTAAAGAAACTGCCACTTCTTCCATTAGGTAGGAAAAACTGTTCTGAAAGTTAGCAACCATACTTATGTTAACACCATTAGAATGGTACTTGAAGTTGTGTTTTAACACCTCTCTTATTTTTCTTTCCTGATTCCCGATTTGTGTGATATTTATGCTTCTTTAAAATTCTTAGAATGTGTGAATGACAGCTGCCTTTCAAATGTTAGCAAGTCTCTCACTGCAACTTCCTCTCCAATTAATGCAGCCCACTCCCTATACAAGTCACTGTTGCATACCTGAAGCTTGTAGAAATCATGAGTCACATCTAAACGAAATGTTATCCTCTTGTAAACTCCCAATATTATAAATGCTTTTGTATTTCTATTTACCTTTTGGTTTTTGAGCCTTAAGGTATGCTGAGATCACATTCTCTTAGGAATGTGATCATAATGAATGTGAAAAGTAAAAAGTAAGAATGTGCTTTCCTGTCTTTTTTAATAAAAGTGGAGATAGTCACAAAATCACAGACCTCCAGGAACTAGTAGAATTACTCTTATGACAGTATGCCTCAGAAGAAATCACTCCACTCTGAAAACAAACTGTACTAACCTAGTTTTAAGCTCATTTACTCTTGTTTATCCAGTTGTTTCAAATACTACATGATGAACATAAAATAACCTTTTCCTTTTAAAATTGAATGGGCTTTTTTCCCAAGAAAACTGATCTTAAATATTAGTGTTGCTGCCACATTTCTGAGTGAACAGACTCCCTTGCCTTCTTTTAATTTCTTGTTTCTCCTCCTTACAACTCTCATATGAGTTTTTTTATGAGAGCAAATCCATCTTTGTTGAAGTTAACAAGTGGTGTTATGGTCCTAATATGTACTATTTGTTTATGTACTGACCATGCCATTCAGCATGTGAGCCTATGTATGCATTTTTCTTTCCTGTGGGCATCCTGTTAATGTTCAAAGGGCTTAATACTATTTCTTGCCTTTGCATTGCTGCTTTTTTGTGGCTAAGGTGTGGGCACATGCAAAGTATCTCTTGCCCACACTTCCCACATGGTGCTGGACCACTCACCTACTGCAGCAGCATGAACACGGTGTGCTGGATTCCCCACCTCCTGCAAAGAGGCCATGACCACTCTACAGATTACAGTTCTACCCTAAGTGTCCCACACTAGTTCCACTCCCACAAAGTTAGTGATGACCTGCTGAGACTGTGCAGTTCTTGCTGCTAAAAGTGAACAATCTTAGTTCATGACTCTGAGACTTCAAAAAGGCAACAGAATTCCCTCCTGCAGTCAATATGTCAATGTTTATATAACTTAAACGGATCCATAGCATATCCTCTATTGGGTGGTCATCCCTGATCAGGTCATGTAATTCTGCTCACTTTATAAGACATTCTGACACCTTTATGATGTCTGTATTCCTGGGCATTGGCCATTCTGATGAAACTGTTGGAGGCATTCTTGCTGACTCTGCGTTGAAAAGAAATAATCCACAAAGTGGAACTCTAAATCCTAAAGACTGACTTGAAAAACTGTATTTATTTTTGAAAGGACAGTTTATTTACATATGAGCTTTTCACTTAAATTCACTTTCTGTATTCAGTTCTCTTCTCAGAGACCGGAAGAGGTAGGTATATTTATTTTAAAACCTGAATCTGAGCCGTCCAATTCCTCCGGAACTGAACTTAAAGAAGAATGTCAGCTATCAGAAAACGACAGATTTCATGACAAATTGTGACAAAGAAATAATAGAATTTTAGAAAATACCAACAAGAGAGACAAGGGCTTTAGGAATAAACCAAAGTAGTAATAGGGACTAAAAGCTGATGCTTATTATGATAGTCAATTTTCTCCTTCCAGCCTCTTCAGGAAGCAAATATGTAGTTACAGAGGACCAGATGGATAAAATCATGAATGCAGATGAATGGTTGAGGGGATCATCCTGAAGTTATTTGGAGAAAATGGAAAAATCTCATTAGTAGGGCAGTATCAAAATGCTCACCCACCCCTTGGTCCCTAAAACATTCTTGCCCTACTATTTTATGTCTCAGAGTAATTGTTGCTAAAGGCTACTGCATGTTTTAATCAACACTTCTAACAAGGTGGCAAATCAGTTCTGTTTTGTTTTCTAAAGCGTTGTACAGTTACAAACAGAGCTTTTTGTTTAAATTTGAAAAGGAAAAAGTGAAGCTGATCTTGGTGGTCAGGAAGAGTACTTTATTATTGGTTCACTACTCTTAACACACAGAAACTCTGGCTGCGTAAAGCACATACTTGCCATGTGGAATTCGCAGAAGTACTTCTACGTATATAATAACCTTCCAGGACAGCTGTGGCCAAAAGTTGTGGCAATACACTACTCTGCCTTTTGAGCATCTACTTTCCTATGGTTAGGTGTCCCTTGCAGTATTTCCAAGATCTAAGGAATGATAAGAACTAGAGTTGTGTGCTTAACCACAGAAGAATATTGGGAAGGGATCTGAAATTTTCTTTCTGAAATCAACAGAACCTGAGAAATCTGGA